CTACTACCACTGAGTACTACTACCACTGAGTACTACTACCACCACTGAGTACTACCACCACTGAGTACTACCACCACTGAGTACTACTACCACTGAGTACTACCACCACCACTGAGTACTACTACCACTGAGTACTACTACCACTGAGTACTACTACCACCACTGAGTACTACCACCACTGAGTACTACTACCACTGAGTACTACCACCACTGAGTACTACTACTACCACTGAGTACTACTACCACTGAGTACTACTACCACCACTACTACCACCACTGAGTACTACTACCACTGAGTACTACTAACCACTGAGTACTACTACCACTGAGTACTACCACTGAGTACTACTACCACCACTGAGTACTACTACCACTGAGTACTACTACCACTGAGTACTACCACCACTGAGTACTACCACCACTGAGTACTACCACCACTGAGTACTACCACCACTGAGTACTACTACCACTGAGTACTACCACCACTGAGTACTACTACCACTGAGTACTACTACCACTGAGTAGTACTACCACCACTGAGTACTACCACCACTGAGTACTACTACCACTGAGTACTACACTGAGTACTACTACCACTGAGTACTACCCACCACTGAGTACTACTACCACCACTGAGTACTACCACCACTGAGTACTACTACACCACTGAGTACTACTACCACCACTGAGTACTACTACCACTGAGTACTACTACCACCACTGAGTACTACTACCACTGAGTACTACCACCACTGAGTACTACTACCACTGAGTACTACCACCACACTGAGTACTACTACCACTGAGTACTACTACACTGAGTACTACTACAACCACTGAGTACCACCACCACTGAGTACTACTACCAACACTGAGTACTACCACCACTGAGTACTACCACCACTGAGTACTACTACCACTGAGTACTACTACCACTGAGTACTGACCACCACACACTGAGTACTACCACCACTGAGTACTACTACCACTACTGTACTACCACCACTGAGTACTACCACCACTGAGTACTACTAACACTGAGTACTACTACCACTGAGTACTACTACCACTGAGTACCACCACCACTGAGTACTACTACCACCACTGAGTACTACTACCACTGAGTACTACCACCACCACTGAGTACTACCACCACTGAGTACTACTACCACTGAGTACTACCACCACTGAGTACTACTACCACCACTGAGTACTACTACCACTGAGTACTACTACCACCACTGAGTACTACTACCACTGAGTACTACTACCACCACACTGAGTACTACCACCACTGAGTACTACCCACTGAGTACTACCACTGAGTACTACTACCACCACTGAGTACTACTACCACTGAGTACTACTACCACTGAGTACTACCACCACTGAGTACTACCACCACTGAGAGTACTACCACCACTGAGTACTACTACCACTGAGTACTACCTACTACTACCACTGAGTACTACTACCACTGAGTACTACCACTGAGTACTACTACCACTGAGTACTACTACCACTGAGTACTACTACCACCACTGAGTACTACTACCACTGAGTACTACCACCACCACTGAGTACTACTACCACTGAGTACTACACCACTGAGTACTACTACCACCACTGAGTACTACCACCACTGAGTACTACTACCACTGAGTACTACTACCACCACTGAGTACTACTACCACTGAGTACTACTACCACTGAGTACTACCACCACTGAGTACTACTACCACTGAGTACTACTACCACTGAGTACTACCACCACTGAGTACTACCACCACTGAGTACTACTACCACTGAGTACTACCACCACTGAGTACTACTACCACCACTGAGTACTACCACCACTGAGTACTACTACCACCACTGAGTACTACTACCACCACTGAGTACTACTACCACCACTGAGTACTACTACCACCACTGAGTATTACTACCACCACTGAGTACTACCACCACCACTGAGTACTACTACCACCACTGAGTACTACTACACCACTGAGTACTACCACCACTGAGTACTACCACCACTGAGTACTACTACCACCACTGAGTACTACTACCACTGAGTACTACTACCACTGAGTACTACTACCATCACTGAGTACTACTACCACTGAGTACTACCACCACTGAGTACTACCACCACTGAGTACTACTACCACTGAGTACTACACTGAGTACTACCACCACTGAGTACTACCACCACTGAGTACTACCACCACTGAGTACTACCACCACTGAGTACTACTACCACTGAGTACTACCACCACTGAGTACTACTACCACTGAGTACTACCACCACTGAGTACTACTACCACCACTGAGTACTACTACCACCACTGAGTACTACCACCACTGAGTACTACTACCCACTGAGTACTACTACCACCACTGAGTACTACTACCACCACTGAGTACTACCACCACTGAGTACTACTACCACTGAGTACTACTACCACCACTGAGTACTACCACCACTGAGTACTACCACCACTGAGTACTACCACCACTGAGTACTACTACTACTACCACTGAGTACTACCACCACTGAGTACTACTACCACACTGAGTACTACTACCACTGAGTACTACTACCACCACCACTGAGTACTACCACCACTGAGTACTAATACCACTGAGTACTACTACCACTGAGTACTACTACCACTGAGTACTACCACCACTGACTGAGTACTACCCACTGAGTACTACCACCACTGAGTACTACCACCACTGAGTACTACTACCACTGAGTACTACTACCACCACTGAGTACTACTACTACCACCACTGAGTACTACTACACCACTGAGTACTACTACCACTGAGTACTACCCACTGAGTACTACTACCACTGAGTACTACTACCACCTGAGTACTACTACACCACTGAGTACTACTACCACCACTGAGTACTACTACCACCACTGAGTACTACCACCACTGAGTACTACTACAACCACTGAGTACTACCACCACTGAGTACTACTACCACCACTGAGTACTACCACCACTGAGTACTACCACCACTGAGTACCACCACCACTGAGTACTACTACCACTGAGTACTACACCACTAAGTACTACACACCACTGAGTACTACCACCACTGAGTACTACTAACACAAGTACTACCACCCCACTGAGTACTACTACCCACTGAGTACCACCACCACCACTGAGTACTACTACCACCACTGAGTACTTGTACCACTGAGTACTACTCTACCACCACTGAGTACTACTACACCACTGAGTACTACCACCACTGAGTACTACTACTGAGTACTACCACCACTGAGTACTACTACCACCACTGAGTACTACTACCACTGAGTACTACTACCACCACTGAGTACTACTACCACGGACTACTACTACTACCCCACTGAGTACTACCACCACTGAGTACTACTACCACTGAGTACTACCACCACCACTGAGTACTACTACCACACTGAGTACTACTACCACTGAGTACTACTACCACTGAGTACTACCACCACTGAGTACTACTACCACCACTGAGTACTACTACCACTGAGTACTACCACCACTGACTACTACCACCACTGAGTACTACTACCACCACTGAGTACTACTACCACTGAGTACTACCACCACTGAGTACTACTACCACCACTGAGTACTACTACTACATACCACTGAGTACTACCACCACTGAGTACTACTACTACCACTGAGTACTACCACCACTGAGTACTACTACACCACCATGAGTACTACCACCACTGAGTACTACTACCACTGAGAGAGTACTACCACCACTGAGTACTACTACCACTGAGTACTACTACCACTGAGTACTACCACCACTGAGTACTACTACCACTGAGTACTACTACCACTGAGTACTACCACCACTGAGTACTACCACCACTACTGAGTACTACTACCACCACCACTGAGTACTACTACCACTACACCACTGAGTACTACTACCACCACTGAGTACTACCACCACTGAGTACTACTACCACCACTGAGTATTACCACCACTGAGTTACTACCACCACTGAGTATTACTACCACCACTGAGTATGGACTACCACCACTGAGTACTACCACCACTGAGTACTACTACCACCACTGAGTATTACTACCACCACTGAGTATTACTACCACCACTGAGTACTACCACCACTGAGTACTACTACCACCACTGAGTAGTACTACCCACTGAGTACTACTACTACTGAGTACTACCACCATCACTGAGTACTACTACCACCATGAGTACTACCACCACTGAGTACCCTACTACCACCACTGAGTACTACTACCAAGAGTATGGACCACCACTGAGTACTACCACCTGATACTACTACTACTACCACCAGCTGAGTACTACTACCACTGAGTACTACCACCACTGAGTACTACTACCACCACTGAGTACTACTACCACTGAGTACTACTACCACTACTGAGTACTACTACACCATGAGTACTACCACCACTGAGTATTACTACCACCACTGAGTACTACCACCACTGAGTACTTACTACCACTGAGTACTATGGAGTACTACTACCACTGAGTACTACTACCACTGAAGAACTACTGACCTCACTGAGTACTACCACCACTGAGTACTACTACCACCAGGAGTACTAAGAACCACTGAGTTTCTACCACCACTGAGTATTACTACCACCACTGAGTACTACTACCACCACTGAGTACTACTACCACCACTGAGTACTACTACCAGGACTCTGACACTGCAGGCAATGCCGCGGTTGCACTTTCCTCCCCTCGGGACAGATTGTTATAGGAAGGAAGATATAGACGGTTGGCACAAGGAAGTCCCCCCAAATCCTCGATGGGGGGTGGGACTTGGTCTGAACCCACAGAGTAAGGGGGGGGGATGGGTATATGTACAGCAGATCTTTATATCAGGACTGAAGGGTTGAGGAAATCTGGTCAGTAGTGCAGCTATGAGTATTCCAGTAAACCCACTGACCTCAGAATCCTTCTCCTGTCAGATTGGAGATCCTATCACCTTTAGGCCGTTGATCTGAGCCAACCAATGAGACTGCGATGTTGAGGGTCCCGGCTGAGGCCACCACAGGAGGAGACAAGGCTGAGCTGGACTCCCCAATGTGATCATCGAGGAGGATGGATTTACGGGAGAAATGTCCCCTCCTCTCCACAGCAGATGGGATTATGATGCAAGAGGAAGGAGGCGGGAGCCACGTGTGATGAAGATCATCCGTACATTGTGAAATCACATCTGCCCAAACCTCTTCTCCACAGCAGATGGATGGAGCATGACCAGGAAGTATGAAGAAATGTCCCTCATCTTCTCCACAGCAGATGGATGGAAGGATGGAAGGATGGACAGGAAGTATGAAGAAATGTCCCCTCATCTTCTCCACAGCAGATGGATGGAAGGATGGAAGGACCAGGAAGTATGAAGAAATGTCCCTCATCTTCTCCACGGAAGGATGGACATCAGGAAGTATGAAGAAATGTCCCCTCATCTTCTCCACAGCAGATGTGGATGGAGGAAGGATGGACAGGAAGTATGAGAAATGTCCCCTCATCTTCTCCACAGCAGATGGAAGATGGAAGGATGGACCAGGAAGTATGAAGAAATGTCCCTCATCTTCTCCACAGCAGATGGATGGAAGGATGGAAGGATGGACCAGGAAGTATGAAGAAATGTCCCTCATCTTCTCCACAGCAGATGGATGGAAGGATGGATGAAGAAATGTCCCTCATCTTCTCCAGGAAGTATGAAGAAAATGTCCCCTCATCTTCTCCACAGCAGATGGATGGAAGGATGGAAGGATATGGACCAGGAAGTATGAAGAAATGTCCCCTCATCTTCTCCACAGCAGATGGATGGAAGGATGGGATGGAGGAAGTATGAAGAAATGTCCTCATCTTCTCCACAGCAGATGGATGGATGGATGGAGCAGGAAGTAAGATGAAGAAATGTCCCTCATCTTCTCCACAGCAGATAGATGGAAGATGGATGGATGGACCAGGAGAGTATGAAGAAATGTCCCTCATCTTCTCCACAGCAGATGTGGATGGAAGGATGGATGGATGGAAGTATGAAGAAATGTCCTCATCTTCTCCACAGCAGATGGATGGAAGGATGGAGGGATGGACCAGGAAGTATGAAGAAATGTCCCTCATCTTCTCCACAGCAGATGGATGGAAGGATGGACCAGGAAGTATGAAGAAATGTCCCCTCATACTTCTCCACAGCAGATGGATGGTAGGATGGAGGGATGGACCCAGGAAGTATGAAGAAAGGTCCCCTCATCTTCTTCTCACAGACAGCAGATGGATGGAAGGGAGGGATGACCAGGAAGGATGAAGAAATGTTCCGTCATCTTCTCCACAGCAGATGGATGGAAGGATGGAAGGGAGGAAGTGGATGGAGAAAGAGGATGGTCATGGATCTCACCTCACAAGCAGATGGATGGATGATGGATGGTTGATGGACCGAGGAAGTATGAAGAAATGTCCCTCATCTTGTCTCCATTGGAGTCAGATTGGATGGATGTAGGATGGATGGACAGGAATGTATGAAGAGGATGAATCCCTGGATCTTCTCCAGGAATGAGCAGATGGATGGAAGGATGGATGGATGGACCCAGGATGATGGATGAGATGGGAATGTGGATGAGTCATCTTCTCCACAGCAGATGGATGGAAGGATGGACCAGGATGTATGGATGGATGAGTGATGTGATGATGTCCCTGATGGAGGGATCACATGATTGGTTGATGATTTGATGGTGATGGAGGGATGGATGATGGGATGAATGGATGATGGAGGGATCTTGGATCCACAGCATGATGGATGGATGGATGGAGGATGATGATATGATGGAGGGAATGGAGGATTGATGTATGGATTGAATGGATGGATGATGGAGGGATGATGGATGCCTGGGGATGATGGTTGGATGATGTGATGGATGGCATGGATGGATGATGGAGGGATGAATGGATGGGAGGATGGATGGATTGATGGTTGGAATGGATGGATGGATTGATGAAGGTGGAGATGCCTCATGATCTCGGACAGGCAATGGATGGATGGTAGGATGGATGGATGGATGGTATGAAGGATTATGGATGGATTAGGATGATGATGGAGGGATGATGGATGGATGAGGAATGATGGTATGGAGGGATTATGGATGGAGGGACCATTTGGATTGTATGGAATATGGATGATGGCTCTGCGATCTCATCTTCTCTCGCAAGCTATGATGAATGGAAGGATGGATGGATGGTTGATGAGGGATGGATGATGGTTGGGTGATGATGATGGTGTGGAGGGATGATTGGATGAAAAGAGGATGGAGGGATGGATGATGGATAGGATTGGTATGGATGGATGGATGGATGACATGGATGGATGGAGGAGGGATGTTGGATGGAGGAGATATGGATGGATTGATGGCAGGATGGGGTGGATGATGGATGGTGATGAGGGATGATGGATGGATGATTGGATGGATGAAAGGATGGATGGATGATGGTTGGATGGATGATGGATTGGAGGGATGATGGATGGATATGGATGATGGATGGAGCGGATGATGGACTGGATGGCCATGAAAGGGATGATGGATGGAGGGGATATTGGATGGATAGAGGTTGATGTTGGAGTGAAGGAGGAGGATGGATGGATGAGTGGTTGATGTAGGGATGATGGATTGGATGGATGATGGAGGGATGATGGATGGAGGATGGAATGGATGGTGATGGATGGATGTAGGATGATGGATGAATGGATATGATGGTGGATGTGGATGGAGGGATGGATGGGGGAGGGGGGATGGGGATTGATGAGAAGAGGATGGAGGGGAGGGGGGGATGGAATGAGATGGAGGGAAGGATGGGGGGGAGGGAGGGAGGGAAATGAAAAGGGGGGAGGGGGATGATGGAAGGGGATTGATGATGGAGGAGTAGTAAGGAAGGGGGATTAGGAGGGATGGTTGATGGAGGATGAAGGGCTGAAGGAGCCGCCAGGTGAAATGGAGAAGCAAGAATAGAAGGAAATGTTATATTGGCTGGAAAGAGATGAATGGAGTGATACGAGAAGTATGAAAGGAGATGAAGAACGGGAAATGCACCAGAAATGATAATTGAAGAAGAGAGA